TATTTCACTTAGATCGATTACATGGATCCAATAATTTTGATTTAATATTCTAAAAATCTTTTTTTTTTCTTTCTATATTTAATACTTTATATTTATTTTTACCATGATTATGATTCTTTATATTTAATGTTTTCACATTAAATATGACGAATCATAATCACACAAGTATAAAAATAAATATAATCGTTAGATTAATATAATCGATAGATTAATATAATCAATCTAATCTAATGGTGAAATAAATTGATAATAATACTAATTGATTGTAATAATACTTTATTTCTTATTTTTAACATATAATTGAATTTTTATTTGATCTATAACGGCAAGGAAAAAAAAAAGTTATGACTTATCCTAAAGAAGATAGCACTTTCGCTACTGTACCCCAAATAAAAAAAGGCACTTTGCATCGTAGGGTCGCTGTCTTACTGAAAAACTTCGGTTCTTTAATAATAGGATAGGGTGCTTTGGTTGCTTTATGTTGTGTGTTGTGGGGTGGGTGGTTGTCTCGAATAAAGTTGAGATTGACCATACTGTTCCGTTTTTTAGAATAATAAATCTAAATATTACGGAGTGCAATTTTTTTTTTACAGTGACAATATATCATAGTCGTTGAAGTTCTTAGTTACTATAAGTGGAATACGTGTCATTCTTTCCATGGTTGGAAAAGACTGTTGCACCAAAGTAACTACTTTGGGTTGAACTAGCACATGCATCACTCAAAGGTCCAAAGTAATTGTGTTGTGTAGCGACTTAATTGTGTTGTGTAGCGACTGTGGTTACTTTTTCTAAATTGGTAGGTCTATGATCAAAGTCGCTAGGAAAGCAAGCAAATTTGGCCTAGGGTGGCAATCCCCATTGCAGGTGTTGCATAAAATGTTGTAGGACCAAAGTAGCTAATATAGATAGCAACTTTGCCCCTTTTATGATATTATAAACAAACATCCAAAAATTGTTCAGTGCTATTTGTGTTACAACACTAATATTTCTATTGTATATGTGGATATGGATAGTGGATTTTGGTATTTTATGATACACATCATCCTGTTTGGGTTTATTGATAAAGTTAGACATGTGTTATGCTTGAGAAAATATACAAAAGAAATATTAGTGTTGTATATATTTAATTTAATTCTAATTTATCTAGGGACTTGATATTTAAATTTTTTTATATTTTATTTTTACTCTTAGTATAGGATTAAACAATAGATTAATGATATGAATTATTTTTCATAAATGAATTATTTTAGGTATACTATAGGATACTTCATATTATAATTTTCAAATTATAAATATAAATAAATTTTATATTGCATTTAAAAATTTGTGTTGTATATATTTAATTTAATTATAATTTTTTTGGGGAATTGAAATATTAGGAAAAATGATATTTAAATTTTTTATTTTTTTATTTTTTTCTCTTAGTATAGGATTAAAAATAGGTTAATTGATATGAATTAATTTTTCATAAATGAATTAGTTTAGGTAAACTATAGCTACCTATGACACTACCGGTAATGGAAAGGCTTTTTATAGACAAAAATAACATAGATAGCATTGAACAATTTTGATATGTTTGTAAGTCGCTTTACACTATCATCAGGGGGGCCAAAGTTGCTATTTATGTTAACTACACGGGACACGACACGATACGACACGCTGACACGTTAATTCTAAAAAATGTCTTATTTCGACACGTTGGGACATGTTTTGATATTATATATTGATATATATAATATAATTTATATTTAATACATATAACAGCTTATAATAAGTCATATAACTAATCAAATATTCAAATTTCATAAAATAAATATAAACGAAAATAATTTTCCGTACCTTGTTAATTTTTCAAGTAAATTTCATAATAAAAAAATTGATTTATATATTTTTTTTATTTTTAGTTAATAAAATAAAATTAAGAAGTAAAAAAAAAAGTGTCGGATGCGTGTCGGAGAGTTGACCGCGTGTCGAAAAAAATTGACTATGTGTCGAAAAACATGTCGGAACGTGTCAGAGCGTTGACCGCGTGTCCTAAAATATTGATTACGTGTGAGACGTGTGTCAAAACATATCCGTGTCGGATACTGTCCGACACACACATTTTGTAATAAGTTACGTAACGGTGCTTCTGAGATTGTGGCACGTGGCACGACATCAGTCCTCCAAAACCTTTAGGTAGCGTTTGGTACAGGATAAATTTTTCTTAATCCAAGAATTAATTATTACCGTGGGAAATATATTTTACTGAAATATTATTAAAAAGTTGTTTGGTAGACCTATATTTTTCCGGAAGAATGAAGTTAATTTTACTGAATTTGTGTTTGGTTGGTTATAAAATATTAGTGGGAATGTGAGATTATTTTACCAAAATAACCTCACTTTTACCTTTTTGATTCAAATTAAAGATTATTTTTGTCAACATTTTTTTTTCATCCCCAGGCAAGTCCACAAATCCATCTATTTTGTGGATATCACATTTGTCAAACAGTACATTCTTTTTCACATTTCAACATTTTTCCATAAACAAAATTGGCTTGGAAAGTCATCAAATTTCATTTACCAAACGTTGCTAACATATTTCCCCTATCCTGCTTTCCCAGTCATTCTGAAATAAGTCACGTAACAAACGCCACCTTAGCTCTTAAAAAAACATTAACGGGTTCCTGAAGTGACTTGGCAAAACTTATTAAATAATATATAAAAGCAATTATGCAGGGTCAGTTCGCAGAACCAATCACCTTCCACCAGAAATTAACTTTAGAAACGTACTAAACGAAAAAAAAAAATTACCATTCCCACACCTCTGAATATTCAAACAGCCATGAAATTACTATTATTTATGCCAACCCCACTATCCTTAAAGTGTCTTGAATGTTAAGGAAAAAGAGATATATACATTTGATGTAACTGAAATTAATGTTCTAAATACAAAATAATGCAATGAATCTTATATTCAGTTATACTAAATAAATATGTTTTGTCCCTTTTTATAGCACTGTTTATTTCTAGTGTAAAATAATTAAGGGAAGGCTTTTTATATTCTAAGTTCCATTACCAACTTCAGCAATTATGGAATTCAAACGTGGTGATGGGACTCGTATAAGTTGATAGGATTCATAAATCTAATGTTTAAGGTTTTGATTTTAAGATATAACGTGAGATTTATTTATTGTAATTATCGCTTAGGTTCAATAACAAATGGCAATCTCCCCCTCGCTCCCGTCGCTAAGTAACAAGAAAAGTATGATTATCCGCAAATTTTAGTTTATCAGCCGTTCTATCCAATGTGCTTTGCGTTATATATTCTCAAATCTCAATAAAACAATAGAAACAACTAGACCCGGGTTTAAAAAAAAAAAAAAAAACAAGTAGACAATTGCAGTATTGATGATTTATTCTTATGACAATTGATAAATGGGTGTGTAAAATTATTTTATATTTATGTTTTTTTTTTTTTTGGAGAATATTGTCTTATATTTCTATCCTTCTTCCTTACACATGAGGTGGGAAACTTCTCGGAAACTGAAGGCATTTCAATTACAGTGAACGAGTAGATGGCAGTCCCACGTTTGTCCTTTTCAAAAGACCACTCTCCTAATTAATATACCAAATATGCCTTTGGCGTTTTGCAAGTGGTAATTGGTAAGCGCTCATGTCAGCATTTCCACCGGTGCCCTAAATTAAATAATTAATTATGGCCAATATTAAAGCATGCTTAATTTGACTAGTTCAAGTCTTCCAAGTTCCAACTTCCAAAAATAATACAATTAACAGAACCTTTTCCTTTTAGAAAAACAAATATCTCAAAACTTGTTTTTGGACTTTCTTCCTACTTGGAATATTATAATTTTAGTATTGAAAATAATTCATTTAAAATTAAATGATTATAAATTTTATACAACTAAAACGTAATAGAATTTGTTATCGGTGATCATAAATCTACTTCCACCGATGACCCAACCAATCAAATTGATTAAAGTATAAAACTTCGATTTTTTTAACTCGAACTAACTTAATTATTTTAAATATATTTTTAAAGCATGTTAATATAAAATAATATAATTTAAAAGTTTTTAAAAAACAATACAAAGCAACATTATTATGGTAGTATTACAAAAAACCTCAATCATCGTATCTGAACCAATCATACTATAATGACCATAACTGATAAATCTTAATTAGAGATTTAATTTAAGAATTTAAATATCATAAATAGATTCAGAGTATGATTTGAAGTATTTTGACTGTAATAATGACTAGGTTACGAACAGTGCGTTCTGCCGGATAATTTGCAATCTTGTGAATTAACCGGTAGAGCTTAAATGAGCAAAATGATATTAGAGACATAATTTGACAATTCTGATGCCAAATATGACTTCATAACGAAAAATTGTGTAGTCTGGCACTTTCCGTGAAAACCACATGAATAATGTTTTCTACCGGATATTTTGTACTTCTGTTTAAGCAACCGGAAGAGTCCAAAAGCAAATAATTGATGAAATAAGAATAAGAAAGTCCAATATATGCCAAGCAAGTCAAAATAGGCCCAAGAATGATAAGTTTGTAAGTTTTAAGTTTCGTAAGTAAACGAAATACAGTTAGTGATTCACAATGCATTTCGTCAAAAACGGTGCAGAAACCATACTGTGAATTATGAATATTGTTCCTTAGGAAATAAAAATTAATGTAAATGTATTCAGAAGAATAAAAATATGTTCGTAGCTTTAAGTTAGTTCCGGGTTAGTTTAAGTGAAAATACGCGATAGAAAAACATCCGATTAAAAAAGTCACATGTGCTTAAAAGACCAAGTCACTCAAAATTTCACTATACACATCAGCTTCTCTCTCCTCTCTTCCCTCAAAAACTCGAGCTGCACATGGAGAAAAGGGGGGGGGGGTTAGGGTTTGATCTTGTTTTCTTTGATTCTCACTCAATCTTCCACCAAATCACAAAGTCCACTACATGAAATTGATTGTAAACCACCCAATGAATCCATTCCACCGATCAATTTGAGCTATAGTTGATTGTGTGAAGAGTTCTTCCTATCCCCATTTTCAAGTTACTATTCATCAAGGGAAAAAAATTGAGTTTTGGATGGAGCTTTGCTTAGAGGTTGCTCTCTAGGCTTTGTACAAGTGTTTAGAGGTAAAGAACCTCTATTTCCATGGTTTTATTTTGATGATTTGAGTCATGAAAATTGTGAGCATGTGTTGGGTGAAAAATAAATTAGTTTAAAGGTAAATTGATGATGGATTTTTGATGTTTTGTATATAAGCATGTGAAATAAGTATTTGTACATGTGTTAAATGAAAAAAAAATTCCCTTGTGTTGTATCCCCTAGGTTCGGCCATGATGGTCTTTGGAGGAGCTTGTGGTTCAAAATTTAGTTGAACACTTTGTAGGAATATATTTATATAGGCATGAGTATATGTAAGATTTTTATTAAGTGAAGAAAAGTGAACGAAAAAGAAAGAAACCCTTGACTCCTCCTTTATTGATTTCGGTCATATAGGGTAAATTAGGGATGATTAGATTATGTTTTATTTTGTTAATGTGTTGAGTTTTCAATACATGAAATTAATAAGATTATGAAGTGAAATGGTTTGAAAATAAATTATGGAAAAATATCTTGGTGTCCTTATATGCATTCCACGGCCTTTGAAGGAAAAGTTAGGCCATAAGATGTTGTAAAAGTGCTATATGGAATTTAAGAGAGTAATGAGGATTATAGGGACTATTGGTTTGTGAAGTGATTCAATGAAATTCTTAGCTTTCCTAACCTTGATTTCGGCCATTTAAGGTCTTTAAGGCTAGGGAGCAATTAAATTGTAATAAACGTTTAATGAGAGGATTTATAGAAGTATGGTCTTGACTTGTGTATTGGCATAGGATTGGCAAAAACGTAAAGAAACGAAAATAAACGATAAAATGTATGCCTTATGTAAAATCTAGGCATGATAGCATTTTATTGATTTGTATTTTGGATTCTTTCTCTAGGTGTACCTAGGGACTGAAAAGGATCGGAATCTCTTGAAGATATATAAGTAACTTGTGCCACAAGTAAGCGGATTGAAAAAAAAACTTCAAGAGGTAAGCTCTATGTTTAAGGAGTCTTTTCCTGCTTGAGTGCTCCACCATGGTTAGTGAACTATGGTTGGACTTTATGACTGTTATTTTGATACTCTGTACAGATGCATTCATATAGAGTTATTTGATAACAAGATATGACTTGTTATGATATGATTTATGTATTGATGTATGGTACACTGATGTCTTCTTGGGATTTTCCTGAGATTGACGATGTACACCTCTGACATGTTCTAGTACCGCTTAGGGTCCTCCCTTGGGGACACGTGCGTTGATTTCCGCTTGGGGTCCTCTCTTGGGAATGACGGCGCACGCCTCTGATATGATATGGATATATGCTTTGTTCTATTATGATATCTGTTATATGTGCATTGTATACTCTGTATCTGACTTTCATGCAGGAGCGACCTAGGAGTATGGAGAATTCTCTATAAACCCGAAGTTTATTGAGATTTGTTATCTCACCTCTCTTTGGGGACATATTTTCAGGTGTCCAGATTCCCGGTGAGTCCTCACTAGGCAGGGACGCGACCCGTGATTGAGGCGTTGGGACAGATCAGTTTTTGAGTAGCTGTAGGCTACTAACCTTTTGGAGTGCATTTATGTTATTTAGAATTTATGCATTTGATGGATCATGATGTTGGATCCCTTACTTTGTATATGGCCTGTATATGTCTTGTACATGTCATTCAGTTTGATGCATGTACATTTGTGTATTTAGGCATGTGGATATGACTATGTAGTATTCAGTTATGTTTTACGTATTAGATTGCATGCTGTTAGATTAGTGGCACGGAGCCAAACTATGCATGTGCCCATGGATGGGTTTATGATTATATTTGGATGTCTGGTACTTCTGAATGTATATGCTGTATAATCTGTCTATCAGGAACTCTTGTGAGTGAGATTTGAAAATCCCCAGTTGTCCGAATTATAGAGGTTACTCTGTCCGATTTTCGTTTCCGCCGAGTAAGAATTAAAATATAAAAAAGAAAAAGTTAGCTCGTATTTTCGTAAGTTAAGTCTTCCGCTGTTTCTGTTTGTATCATATGCATGTTAATTGAACTGGCTCGAGACAGAGATGTTACATATGCCATGATCAAGTTAGGTTGATATAGATAATTTTTTTTTTTTTTTGTGGAATCCAATTTAATATTATCGGTTTGGTTTTCATTTTTATCCAAAATCTATCAAACTCAACTTTTGTTCATTAATTATTAGAATTTATCAATCGGGGCAATGACCATATTGTCACTTTTTGGGCAAAAATTTACCTGATTGTCACGTTTGTAAATTTTTTTGCCAAAATGCCACGTCACAATCCCGCTGGTCTGACAAGCGAGAATGGACTGGACACGTGTCAGCGTCTGAATGGTCAACCATTCTTGCTGGGCTGCCCAGCTAGAATAACAGAATGCTGACACGTGGCAAAAGTACAATCATTCTCTGGATGTCTATACTTTTGCCACATGTCAGCATTCTGTCTTTTTAGTTAGGCAGCCCAGCAAGAATGATTGACCTTTCAGACGCTGACACGTGTCCAGTCCATGCCCGCTTGTCAGACCAGTGAGATTGTGACATGATATTTTGGCAAAAATTTTTCCAGATGTGACAATCAAGTAAATTTTTATTAAAGTGGTGGGACAATGGTCAATGTCCCTTTATCAATCATAAACTACTACACATTAAATAATTCGTAAAACAAATTTTAAATCTAAAAAATAGCTTGTACAAAACGTAATTTTAAAATAAAACAAATTCTATCATTTAGACTGGACTTCAAACGTTTGATAAAATAATGAAAGGGTTATATGTTTCTTCTTCTACGGAAAAACAAAACCCTTCCTACTACACGCACAATGACTTCCGCACTGTTTTGCATTTTTGTTCCTTTAATAAAAGTAGGCTGTAGGCCGACACTTTAACATAGCGTTTGGTAGAGAAGAAATTTTTTTTTGTCCAGTAATCTCAATTTTTAAAAATATATTTTTTACATTCATTTTACGATAATATTAAAAATTTAAAATTTAGAAAAATTTAATTTTACAAAAATTCTGAAAAAATCCTCCTACCAAATGCTCCCTAAAAAGGAGAAACATATAATCCTTATTCGTACGGATATCATGGAATTTAATATTTTGAAAGCAACGTGGAACTGCCTTTGCTATCATCAATATTGTTTTATTCTTCAATAGTGCGTGTGGCCTCCGCTAATTTGAACTTTTTTTAGTCCTATTCATTTTTTTTTGGGAAATAAAAAATCATTTGAGGCCTATTTTAAACTAGTGGCTTCACCAATCAGCACTTTATTCACCCATTCAATGAAGGTATCACTTATATTTTCGTTCATTTATGTGTGTTGTTAGTAATGGGAATTAAGAGTCGCTTTATGTGCACACTGCACTCTGTCGTTTTTGAACAAATTGTGTCAGACAAATATATATCATCCTTGATTTTTTCCACGTAGAAACGAGTACTATTGTGGATTGATTATTGTTTTGTAATGGAATCACCATCTTCCATACTTTTACATGTAAATTGCTCTCTTTGCATTTGCAGCCTCACATATACAGCTTCTTTTCCATTAATTTCTGATACTTTAAATTCACACTATGCGCGTAATTCTAGCACTAACAATCACAGTTGAATTACACTTATAAAATTAAATTGTTCTCATGATTTATTATCAGGATGTAGATTTGAATTATAATCTTCAAATGCAAATTTTTTTTTTGCAGTTGCTTACAATTCACTTACATTCGCAATAAGATGAACCTTATTAAAAAAGAGAGGTGATTGACAAATTATTATTATTTTTTAAATAGTTGAACAGAAAAACAGCGCATTTGGATATTTTTAAGAGAGGTGTTATTTTAAGGAGGTTCAGTCTCATGTCTATTCCCAACAGGAAAAAAATAGCTCAGTTTGAAAATTAACTTATAATGTACGGTAAGTCGGTAACATACAAAATAAGGTTAAAAACTCATAAAATCAATATAAAAAAGGTTAAACTTATTTACCACAAACAATACACAATAATTTAGAAATGTTATAATTAACATATTATTTTTAAGGATCTGATTACATATCAACTCTTATTTATTAAATTAGGATATATTTATTGAAGAGTACATTATTTTTTTATTGTATTATGTTTTAATAATAAAGTTTTTTTATACATAATTTATACTTTTAAAATTAAATTATTTTTTTATCTTATTATATATATAAATATATCCACTTTTTTATTTTTTTCACATGTTATATATCATGTTTCCTAATTGTAAATACATTTTCTTTTAAGAGATTGTTATATTTATAATTTTTCTTTTTTCTTTTACATTCTTTCACAATGACTGCGTTAATATTGTATCAAAATCACACCAACCGATACAAAATAACATTGGATAAAAGTTATTAATTTAATTTTGATTCAATAATAACAAAATAAATGTAAAAGAAATTAATAAATACGATCTATTTATTTATTTATTTTTGAATCATAAATGCACACAAAACACAAAAGTCCACAGAGATCGAATGAATTTGCAAATTATTCACGTATTCAATCACGAATAGGAGGGCGCGGGCATGCACCCAACGATATCACTTATCATTTTAACAAAATAGTGTATCTTGAATTGTAATAGTCAACCAAATATAATAAATTTGCAAATTATTGAAGCAAACTTACAGAAGTCAATCTTCAATCATTTCCCTAAAAACATGAAACGATATAATCCAATGGGCAAGTTGAATAATCATACATTACCAAACGGTCCAAAACAATAAAATAAAATAAAAAAATCACACGTAAAAATAAGTTTTAAAGAACATAAAATTGTGATATTTTAATTAAAACTATTATATTTTGAAGTGAGAAAAATAAAAAATGAAGATAGTAAATAAAAATATTAATGAATATTTTTTTCCTTAAAAATAAATAATTTATTAAATAATGTGTCTTTGTTTGTTACAGGAAAAAAAAAACGGGAGAAGAATCCGGGAAATGAGTCGTCCGTTGTGGTGGTGATTTGCGATCTGACGGAAGGCATGAGGCGCAGGTTTGGAATCACTCAGTGGACGCATGCCACGTAAGCCATAACGAAACTCTCAACTCTCAACTCAACTCAACTCCGTCCAGGTTCAATGAACCTTAAAGGCCGCCCCGTCCCGCATTGCTTGCTACTTCTTCTATCTTTCCCCCATCTATAAATACCAATCCAAACCCTCTTCTTTTGTTCAAAGGTAACAACCAATTTTGAGAACACATTCCATTTCATAAAACAATATTTACTCACACCTTTACATAATTTAATGGCCCTCGCTGTCTCTTCTTCAATTTCCGTTTCAACTTCCTCCTTCCAAACTTCACAACACCCAAAACGTAATCTCTCTCTCCCCTTCTTTTTCTTTTTTTTCTTTTCTTTTTATTAACTATTACGAATTTGATTCTATTTGTGGGTTTAATGTGTGAATATTTTTGATTTCAGCTCCGCAAATTGGTTCGATTAGGATTTTGGATAGGCTCCATCCCTATGGAGGAGCTGTTAGTTTATCTCAAAGACGGAGCTTGGTAAAGCCCCTCAACGCTGAACCTCAACGCAATGATTCTCTTGTTCCTCTCGCAGCAACTATCGTTGCTTCTGGTACGTCCCTTCTATTATTGAATTAAATTACGTCCTTTTTATTGATGTGAGAGTGAAATTCAAGCAAGTGCTTTGCGTTTTCCAGAGGTTATTCACACGGAAGAGGAAGATTTCGAACGGTTAGCAGTTGATCTCGAGAATGCTTCCCCTCTTGAAATAATGGATAAAGCACTCGAGAAATTTGGCGATGACATAGCTATTGCCTTCAGGTTAGACATCCCCAATTCCATCAATTGCATGTTTTTACCGAAATTTGGCGATCACATAGCTATTGACTTGGCTTGGAACGATAGTTTGAATATTTGCTTTCATGTGTAACTCTCTTTAAGTTCTTGTTCCTCTAGATATGTATACAATTTGTGTTAATTGTGTTTCAAAGGCCGAAGCTTGAACTTAATTTATAGCATGCAACTTATGGGTGTTGTGTTTATTTTAATGAGGGGCTTTGCCTTTTGCAGTGGTGCTGAAGATGTTGCTCTGATTGAGTATGCACGCTTGACTGGTCGACCCTTTAGGGTGTTCAGTCTGGACACTGGGAGACTGAACCCTGAAACTTATAGATTTTTTGAGGCGGTTGAGAAGCATTATGGAATCCGCATCGAGTACATGTTCCCTGATGCTGTTGAGGTTCAGGCATTAGTCAGAAGTAAGGGCCTATTCTCATTCTATGAGGATGGACATCAAGAGTGCTGCCGAGTGAGGAAGGTGAGACCCTTAAGGAGGGCACTTAAGGGCCTCAGAGCATGGATAACTGGCCAGAGAAAGGATCAGTCGCCTGGTACTAGGTCCCAGATACCGGTTGTTCAGGTTGATCCTGCTTTTGAGGGAATGGATGGTGGTATTGGTAGTCTGGTAAAGTGGAACCCGGTTGCAAATGTGAAAGGACACGACATTTGGAACTTCCTTAGGACCATGAATGTGCCTGTGAATCCCTTGCATTCACAAGGATACATTTCCATCGGATGTGAGCCCTGCACAAGGGCTGTTTTACCTGGACAACATGAAAGGGAAGGCAGGTGGTGGTGGGAGGATGCCAAAGCTAAGGAGTGTGGTCTTCACAAAGGAAATATAAAGCAGCAAGAAGATGCTGCTCAGCTTAATGGAAATGAGGTCGCCCATGAAAATGGCACTGCCACTGTCCCTGACATTTTCAACTCCCAGAATGTGGTCAACTTGAGCAGGACTGGAATTGAGAATTTGGCAAAATTGGAGAACCGAAAAGAACCATGGCTTGTTGTGCTTTATGCACCATGGTGCCCCTACTGCCAGGTAATATAAATTTCCTTAACTTTTAGTATTCTGTTGTTAGGATTATCTTACTCCCTATGGGTTACTTTGGCTTGAAATCTTTATTCTCTAATGAGATCTATATGCTGAATTACAACAGGCTATGGAGGAATCTTATGTTGATTTAGCAGAGAAGTTAGCAGGGTCAGGGGTGAAGGTTGGAAAATTTAATGCGGATGCAGAGCAGAAAGAATTTGCAAAGCGTGAACTGGAGTTGGGAAGCTACCCCACAATATTATTTTTCCCAAAGCATTCATCTCGGCCTATAAAGTATCCCTCAGAAAACAGAGATGTTGATTCCTTGATGGCATTTATTAATGCCTTAAGATGAGGATTTATCAAGAAATTCTTATTGTTTGGATTGCAATTCAACTGTAACTATACTTTCAAGGTTCCATGGTTGGTGGTGCTGGTATATCATTCATTCACAGATTCTGGTAACTCATTGGAAGTGGGAATGGAATTTTTGAATCTAGCTTAGCAGAATAAGATACTCAACTTTAACTTGTGGCATATTTGAATAGTTTTATATCATCATTCTGTCGTCGTAGTAGTAATTCTGTAGGGGAGTAATTGACTTCCTGCCTTTTCTAGAGGAGTGATTTGTAATGTGACATTTTCCAATATGAAAATTGAGATATCTTCGATTTGATAGCTGCTATTATCCTTCTTTCGTACTTCGCAAAATATAGTATATTAAAGGGGTGGGAAATTATCTAGGGAAGTCACTAGAATTGGCCACTAGCGACGGATTTGAGTAGTCTGTGTAATTATATAAAAAAAGAATCTTATCTCAAGATCCCAATGCGCAACTAACACTGTAACAACGGGCCTAGCTTGTTTGGGGGTATATGTGTTTAGGATGGGCTGTTTCACAATGGTAACGCGTTAGACCTGTTTTGAATTGTGCGTTATTTTTTGTTTTCTTCTACAAGTAAAACTTTATTTTAACTCTTGAATTTATTTTAATTTGATTTTTATTTAGCAATTTTATTAATTTGACTTTTAAAAAATTAAGTTCTCAATATTTTAACGTGTCCATTCAAATAATGTAAGTATAGTATTTATGAACTAAAGTTGATAGAGACTAAAATATTGAAATTCGAAGAAATTCAAATTGATAAAATTATTTTGTAAGAGATTAAATTAGTAAGAGAATTAAATTTGCATAAATTAAAATTAAGATTTTACTTTAACTATAAAAAAACATAACATTTTAATTTCGGGCCATCTTCTTTTAAGTAATTATTAGTGTAGTACTCGTGTATTGCACGGAGGAAGAAAATTAAAAATTTTGTCGGCATCTGTCGTTGGTTAATCGCTAAAAGAAAGAACCGTGTAATATTTTATGCAAATTAAAAATAGTTATGTACTCTATAATTGATTATTTTCATATACAGCAATGCATACATAATCAAAAGTGATGAGAATATGATTTTAGTATTGAAATCATAAGATTTTACTTTCGGGTCATCTTCTTTTAAGTAATTACTAGTTTTTTTATTTTATGATTGAGTGAGTTGGTGTATTAACTTATCTAATCTAGAGGGTAAGCGAGCTTATAGTGTGGTAATGGTAACTCGTTAAAACTAGGCCTATAGTAAACCTTGTTTGGACCATCTGAAGCAAGGGTTTGGTGGGTGAACTCTTCCTTCGTCTTCACAGCACATTCCTGGATATTAGGAAACTCTGACACATAGAGCCAGAGCTTCAGCCATCCTTGCCTCAAATCCATGTTCGTGCATCAATCTCAGCGAAATCTCCTCCTCACCCACGATGCTCTTCAGAAAGGGAGACGAGACTCCCTTCTGAAGAGGAAGAAGATGGACCAATGTGGGACTTGTAGCAGGAATCAAGGATCCCAATAGATTCCTCTGCAATATGGTTGATCCCTTATTTAGCAAGCCCTTAATTTTCTCGAGAACATTAGGAAACCCAAAGCTCTGCAACCACAACCACCATGCAAGGACTTGCATGATTGCTCGGGCTCTCGGTGCAATTCTAACACTAGTATCGTTATGGATTAACTCTTGAATTTATTTTAATTTGATTTTTATTTAGCAATTTTATTAATTTGACTTTTAAAAAATTAAGTTCTCAATATTTTAACTCTTCCATTCAAATAATCAGTAAAGGATTTATGAACTAAAGTTGATAGAGACTAAAATATTGAAATTCGAAGAGATTCAAATTGATAAAATTATTTTGCAAGAGATTAAATTAGTAAGAGAACTAAATTTGCATAAATTAAAATTAAGATTTTACTTTAACTATAAAAAACATAACATTTTACTTTCGGGTCATCTTCTTTTAAGTAATTACTAGTGCAGTATCCATGCGATGCACGGAGAAAAAAGATTAAAAATTTTGTCAGCGTCTATCGTTGGTTAATCGCTAAAAGAAAGAACCGTCAGTATTTTATGCAAATAAAAAATAGTTCTTTTTATGTTCGGCTTTTCACAATTTTTCCATTTAAAGTCTATTCTTTTTTTGGGCTTGGGAATATTCGGCTGGTTTGTGGTTGAGCAACTCCACCCTGGTGGTTCAACAGCATTCCTAAGTTCTTTTAACATATGAAAAGAGAGTTTTTTTAGAGAGTATTTTAGTGAGTTTTTTTTTTTAATACATTTAGTGAGTTTTAGTTGGACATCTCAATGTCCATCCTTTTATTTCTACAATTATCTAAAGTCGGCTATCTACGCAAACATAATGATTGTAATTATAATTAAATCAAAAGCTTGAAAGTTGCAAATATATGAGTGGTGTATTGGGGGCCCAAAGTTATCTTTAATGAGATCTCGTAGATTTGACAATGGTGGAAGGTTTATTCGATGCTTGTGATAGACCCATGGTGTGGTAATGGGGGAGCACATGTGATTCTGTCATTCTGCTTCAGTTTATGTCTTCCATTATGTGCTCACCAAATACAGTAATTAACTATTGGAGAATATTCTTGGATAAGATCAGATCAATGTAGTTTGTTATAGTTTGTTATGATGTACATCTTGTTACCTAGTTTAATGTGTTTTGTTATGATAGGATAGAGTTGTTTACGTAGGTTGCGGTCTATTATTTTTAGTCTTATCTTTTTTTTACTGATATGCCTTATATTAAAGGCACCATTGAACCCAGTAAAACACAAGCTTTACGATACCAAACGAGAACTCCATTTTCTTTGAATGATCGACGGAGTAAACAGTGTTTTGAGCTTGTTCATTGTGACACTTAGGGGCCTTATAAAACTGCTGCATCAAGTGGTGCACATTATTTTCTCACACTTGTTGATGATTATAGCAGATCTGTATGGGTGTTTCTGATGGCGGAAAAGAGTGAAACATATAATTGTGTGAAACGGTTTCTTGCTATGGTGCATAATCAATTCGATAAAACAGTAAAAGTCATGAGCAGTGATAACGGAACTGAGTTCACTTCACACAGAATGATTCAATTGTATGCAGATAACGGTATTATACATAAAAAATCATGTGTGCACACGCCACAACAGAACGGAAGAGTTGAACGGAAACACAGGCACATATTAAATGTTGCTCGTGCCTTGCGATTCGAAGCTCATCTGCCTTTGGAGTTTTAGGGAGACTGTATCTTGACAGCAGCCCATTTGATAAATAGAACACCCAAAAAATTGCATGGAGGAAAGACACCATTTGAGCTACTACATGGAGTTGCACCCAGATATAATCGTTTGAAGGTTTTTGGGTGTTTATGCTACACGCACCCTAGACCTAGACCCACTGATAAATTTGCAGCACGATCACGTAGATGCGTCTTTGTTGGGTATCCTTTTGACAAGCAAGGATGGAAAGTTTATGATCTTGAAACAGGTGATTACCTTGTGTCTAGGGATGTGAAGTTCCATGAAGATGAATTCCCTTTTCAAGAGATGCATTCGACACAAGATCCCCCTCGTATCTTACTGCCTAGCTTCATAATGAACCATGATGTGACTGACGAATGTGCACCAGACAAGGCTGGTAATATAGCTACTTATCCAGATAATGATCATAGCATGGAGCTAGAACGTGATCATGCAAGTGATGCAACAACTGAAGAACCAGTCATACCTTATCACAATTCAGTGACAATGGCAGAAAAGGGGAGCTCCTCATATCCCATGAGGCAGCAACATGGACAACAAGTAAGTGATGCTACAGTGCACCATCGACCACAACGTGAGCGTAAGTCCCCTGCCTACTTAGCTGACTATCAATGCAATGCAGTTGCACCACATACACACTCACGTCATAACACTCAAGACGGCTCCATCTCAGGTACACATTACCCTATTCATAATTATGTAACCTGTTCTAGATTCTCACCAAAACACCAAGCGTTTTTAGCAGCAATTGATGCAGGCAAAGAACCAACGTCTCTTAGGGAGGCCATGCAAGATAATCGTTGGGTTGAGGCCATGCGAACAGAAATTTGTGCTCTAGAAGACAATCACACCTGGATTGTCACTGATCTTCCACCTAGGAAGCGTGCACTCCCTTGCAAGTGGGTATATCGTATTAAATATCATTCGGATGGAACAGTGGAACGGTACAAAGCGAGATTAGTCATTGCAGGTAATAATCAAGTTCCCGGAGAGGATTTTAATGAAACATTCGCTCCTGTAGCCAAGATGGTAAGCGTTCGGATACTTTTGGCAGTAGCAGCGGCACAACGGTGGGAATTACATCAATTAGATGTGAGTAATGCTTTCTTGAATGGTGATCTCAAGGAAGAAGTATATATGAGATTTCCTCCAGGGTTCACTAGTGGTTCCAGTAATAAAGTTTGTCGCCTTCAAAAATCTTTGTATGGTCTACGTCAGTCCCTAAGGAACTGGTTTTCCAAACTAAGCTCTGCACTGTTTTCTTATGGATTCACTCAGTCACAAGCTGACCACACCTTGTTCACTTTAAAACGAGGTGATGTGTTTGTTGCATTATTAATTTATGTCGACGATATTGTTTTAACAAGTAACAACTCAGAAGCTTGTCAAGTTGTGAAAAAATATCTCAGCTCTTGTTTTAAGATTCGTGATCTGGGTCCTTTGAAGTATTTCTTGGGGATAGAAGTAGCTCGTAACAGTGAGGGTCTTTTCCTATCTCAACGCAAATATGCATGGACATTCTCTCAGAATGTGGGTTGATTGGATGTAAACCTGCTTCATTTCCAGTGGAGCAAAACCATCGACTGGCTTTAGCAGAAGGTCCAGACTATAATGATCCTCCTCGCTATAGAAGGCTCATTGGGAGATTGGTTTATCTTACTATTACCAGACCGGATCTTAGTTACGCAGTTCATACACTCTCTCAATTTATGCAAAGCCCTAAACAACAACACTTTGATGCATTACTTCGCGTTCTCCGTTATGTCAAGCTCAATCCAGGCCAGGGCCTTCTCCTAAAAGCTGATTGTGATCTTCAAATACGCGCATTTTGTGACTCTGATTGGGCAAGTTGCCCTATTACGCGTAGATCCCTTACTGGTTTCTTTGTCATGCTAGGTAATTCACCTATTTCTTGGAAAACTAAGAAGCAAGCCACAGTCTCTCGCTCATCTGCAAAAGCTGAATATCGTTCCATGGCAACCACTACTGCTGAGCTTATCTGGATCAAGAATTTTCTTGCGTCTCTTGGCATTAATCATAATCAACCTATGCATTTATTTTGTGATAATCAAGCAGCTCTTCACATAGCTGCAAACCCAGTGTTTCATGAGCGTACAAAGCACATAGAACTGGATTGTCATTTTGTGCGTGAACAACTCGTGGCAAAAACCATCTCAACGGCATATGTACGGTCACACTCTCAATTGGCCGACATCTTCACCAAAGCTCTTGGAAAGCAATCTTTTCTTACCAATCTTCCCAAGTTGGGCATTTCATGTCTTCATGCTCCAACTTGAGGGGGAGTATTGGAGAATATTCTTGGATAAGATCAGATCAATGTAGTTTGTTATAGTTTGTTATGATATACATCTTGTTACCTAGTTTAATGTGTTTTGTTATGATAGGATAGAGTTGTTTACATAGGTTGCGGTCTATTATTTTTAGTCTTATCTTTTTTTACTGATATGCCTTATATTAAAGGCACCATTGAACCCAGTAAAACACAAGCTTTACGATACCAAATTTATTATTAACAAAGCCACTTGTGTTTCTCTGTTTGCTTTCGGAGCAGAACTGCTCCTCCTGCTAGTTTTCTGAATCTGCCTTGTTTTGTTGCTGCCAGAATTCCCATATGTTCAAATCACTAACAAAGCCACTTGTTATATTCGCTTGTTTTGTTCCTCACATTTTGATAAAATATATTTGAATTCAGTGTATATTTAATAAAACTTCCACTTGTCATGTGTGTGGGTATTAAGGGGTATTGGGATTTTTTTTATTTTATTATATGTTATGAAATTTTTTAATTTGTGCTAAATACCTAAATTCCCGTGCATTTCAAAATACACATCCTAAAAGGCCAAAGTAAAGGAAAAAAAAAAAGTTTCCTAAAGATAATTTTTTAGAAAAGCAAACACCATAAAGCATAAGCGCTCCCCGTATATAGTAAGAATTTTTATTTTCATAATCATAATTCATAAGTTAATTATATAGATGTGAAATTTTGATTTCTAAAGTGGCTAATATATGTTGGTTAGAAGTGCAAACCACTATCTTCCACTAAAGAACTGTGGAGTTACAGTTTTTTATTTTTTTAGTGCACATGGAGTTACAGTTTTACCCAGCCACATAATGAAAAGTTGACACATGTCCGACAATTTCTTCATTGTTCTCTTCTCTTCAGGGCAAATGCCTAAACTCTGACGAGAAAGCCAAGTCCCTTTCCCAAATACAAGCCCGTGAGATGGTTTTTTTTTTTTTTTTTTCCCTTATGCAAAATCAAAACATTTACCGTGGTCTGAATGAGAGGAAACAAAATAAGAAAAGAGAAAAAAATTGATTTTTTTTTCCCAAGGATTTTTTCTTTTTCTAATTATTTCTTTAATTTTCTTCATTTATAGGAAATTATAAAATTAAATTGTCCCTACTTTAATGCGGTACACTTTGAAGGGTATTTCAGAGAAATCAGTAATGAAAATATGTTGGACCAACTAAAGTGGGAAGGAAGTACACCATCCAATGGCAGTTGGCATTCGCTAGATCTCTGTTCCCCTTTAAAATCTTAGCACTGTTCTCTACACCTTCTTCCATTGTTCAGTCATTCATCTAAAGTTCTAAACTAAGTAAAGAAAAGCCACCTACCTTATATACTTAATAATATTCAAGCCTAAAAAAAAGAAAGTGGAAAAAATAAATAATCTTTTATTTTGATTAGATAATGCAAGGTTCTGTAGCCGAAGCAGAAGCAGAGGATGAGGAGAGGAAGTGAAGTGGATAGACTTGAATGGCAAACTCTAAGCTCATTCTTCTCATTCACATCCTCTCCTTCTTTGCCCTTCCATCGCTAGGTAATGAAACTAAGTTCAAAACTCTGCAACTTTGTAAAAACAATCACCCATACATAATTCAATTAACTGTTTTTGCATTGCATTGCATTGCAGCTGAATCATCATCACAGGTGAAGCAGCAAAATGAAGACCAAGAAGAGAAGGAGCCATTCGTGGGGGTGAACATAGGCACAGACGTTTCGAATCTGCTATCAGCCTCGGACCTGGTGGCGTTTCTTCAACTGCAGAAGATAACACACATTCGTATCTACGATGCTAACACCGACATCCTTAAAGCCTTGTCTGGTACCAAGATTCGTGTCATTATCAGTGTCCCCAACAACCAGCTCCTCGCAATTGGTTCCTCCAATACCTCTGCTGCTTCATGGATCGACAGAAACGTCGTCGCTTACTACCCGCAAACGCTCATCACCGGAATCTCCGTCGGCGATGAGGTTCTCACCACCGTTCCCTCCTCAGCCCCACTTCTTCTCCCTGCTATTCAGTCTCTCTACAACGCCCTCGTCGCTTCCAACCTTCACCAACACATCAAGGTTTCAACCCCTCATGCTTCTTCCATCATTCTTGACCCTTTCCCACCTTCTCAGGCTTTCTTCAACCAAACCCTTACCTCTGTTATCCTCCCTCTGCTTCAGTTCCTTTCCAAAACTGGGTCACCCTTGATGATGAATCTTTACCCCTATTACGTGTTCATGGAGAACAAGGGTGTGGTTCCTCTTGACAATGCTTTGTTCAAGCCTTTGACTCCTGCTAAGGAAATGGTAGATCCTAATACCTTGCTTCACTATACTAATTTGCTCGAGGCAATGGTTGATGCTGCTTATTTTTCCATGAAGAACCTTAATGTAACGGATGTTGTGGTTCTTGTCACGGAAACCGGGTGGCCTTCAAAGGGTGATTCTAAGGAGCCTCATGCTACCAAAGACAATGCTGACACTTACAATTCCAACTTGATTAGGCATGTTTTTGATCGTGGTGGAACCCCTTTGCATCCCGAAACTACTTCAAGTGTTTATATCTATGAACTGTTCGACGAGGACTTGAGGTCTCCGCCAGTGTCAGAGGCCAATTGGGGTCTCTTTTATGGGAACACTACGCCGGCTTATTTGCTTCATGTATCAGGAATTGGGACTTTTCTGGCCAATGATACAACCAATCAGACATACTGCATTGCCATGGATGGTTTTGATTCCAAGACATTGCAGGCAGCACTAGATTGGGCTTGTGGACCGGGTCGAGCTAATTGTTCAGAGATTCAGCCTGGAGAGACTTGCTATCAGCCTAATAATGTGAAGAACCATGCCTCTTATGCCTTCGATAGCTATTATCAGAAACAAGGGAGGGCTCCTGGGACTTGTGATTTCAAAGGAGTAGCTATGATCACAACCACTGATCCCAGTAAGTGCCTACTACAATTCTCATGTCTTTCAGTCAATTTAGAGTTTTGATATTCCCTTTGATTTTAATTACGCCGGAGACTTGATCCTCAATTGTAATGTGTTGTTAATTGATGCATGGAGAATCTGGGATAAAATTTGGCTTGGTTCTTGAGGGGGAGGTCCAACTTCTGTTGCTTTTTCCATATTTTCATGTGGCTATTTCTAAATCTTCTTGCTTTGCCTAATTAGCTCATTTTATGGTAACATAGCAGAATGAACTGTTTAAGAAAAATAAAAGGCTCGTGAGTACTGTAACAAACTTTACTGATGATTGGAAAAAGGGAAATAATTTAAAAATAGAATTGTGGTGAGGTAATGATTCTTGTAAGGAAATGCATTTGTGTGGGGGCACCCACACACTGCAAAGGCACTTTTGGGTTTTGGCTCTATTTGTATTGAAAATCGAAATAAAAAGAGGGTACTGTTAATTGCATTGCCATGGATTGGCACTCACACTCCATGACTTAGCTGGATGCTGGTTTGTCTTAGAGTACCCTGTTTCCCCTGACATTGCAAAGATTCTGGACCGTGTTTCTAGATTACCTTCACTTAGTAGTATTTTTCTTGCTCTCCAATTTTTTACTGGGCAGTTTCTTACAGTAGTCTTTCTTACAAACTCAAGTACTTTTTTGAGATTGCATCATTCAGAGCTAAATGGGCTCCACGATTTTCTAAGTATTTTTCTCCTCGTAGTCTATTCCTGGTTTAACACTTGTGGTTAATATTTTTTTTCCTTTTTTTGTGGGGAATACCTATGCAGGTCACGGGACCTGTATTTTTCCTGGAAGGTAAGAAACATTGCCTCCCTAGTTTCTGTCTTACTTTTTTAGCTATCATGGGGATCTTTATTTAACAACATGCATCTTTACATGTGATTCTTCATTCGATGTGATGCAGCAAGAAAGTAAGCAACAAGACAAAGGAAGTGGTGAACTCTACTCAATCAAACAGGGCAGGGAAGAAGTTAAGGTTTGGAACCTTTAGCAGCATCAGATTAAGTGCATTTAATATCATTTTGCACATTTTCTTGGCTTCATATGTGCCCACTTTGTTGTTAGTCCATTTATGATGTCCAAATAATTCAATTTTTTTCTTTTTTGAATTTTGAATTTCTTAAGAGTTAAGGGGATAAGGTCATTAGAGAAAAGGAATCGTGGATGATCTGTAGGTCTAAAAACTTAGTGCTCATGATAGATGCTTCCTTTTTTTAAGAAAGTAGTGTGAATAATTTTTCGTGGGGCTCTTTTAATTAACGTTTGTATTTCTTGAAATTATATTTGTTAATCAATTTGTTTAGTATATGGATCAGTTGGAGACCCATGATATTCTTCACCACTTCTCATGGTCATAAATGTGTTTTCCTTTATTTTATTTTTCCTTCAAACTTTTTCCATTACCCTTCTATTTTCTCTGTACATTTTTTTAGCTGAAATTTTCCCTGTATATTTATCTACATAAAGTGAGCAAAGAATGAGGAGGGAATTATACATACGGTCATTTTTCTTTCCAAAAAAAAGTTCCTAACACCAACCATTTTTCATTTTCTAAGAACGTTATACCAACTTTCTGTTTTCTCGTTGCAACACAATGTTTTATTTTTTGTACACAGCAAGTAAACTTAAATTAAAAGAGAAAAATATTTAAGAGTATAAAGAATGTATACATAACCAATTTAAAAGAATTTAACTTACTATTAAAAAAATAAGAAGTTTAGAATGACGTGTAATTTTAAAGAAATAATAAACTAAGAGATTAAGCGATCATGTACCCAAAAAATTAAAAATAAATTATCACTTATATGTAAGTTGAAGTTGATAAATAAGAAAGTGGTTTGGGATTAAAAAGTAATAGAGTTCAAGCACTTTTTTTTTGGTGAAAAGAGTTCAAGCACTTTAATTAGCTTTTGAGAAACATACCATTCAAATTTAAGGCATCTATTAAATTATGTGGGATGATGCAAGTCAATTTAGTTAAATGTGAATAAAGTTTTCAAGTTCGAGCCTGGCAGCTGACTTAAAATTTGTAGGAAGAAGCGATTATGTTCAATTTAAATCGTATTATTTAGAAAAACGATGAACCCGTGAAAATATTTAAAAAAAGAATACAGTTTTTTTTTTGTAATTTTTTATTTTATTTTATTTTTTATACTTTTTAAGTTTTTTTCTGTAAAAATTATGCGTGCATAAATTACGTGAGATATGTATATCATTTTAATTTTTAAAATTTATAATTACAATATAATTAAGGTATTATTTAAAGGGTTTTATTAATCTCATGTTACAGGAGATAAGTTATCTCATGTCATAGAGATACACTTAAGGGCTCCACTACTTAAAAAAAAAAAGTGACACAGTTATCGAAAGGTGTGTACGAGATAAATTTATCACATATAACATAAGAGTAATATTTTCTTTATTTAAAACCTGTATAACGGAATGTGAAAAATGCATTAAATGCATTTAAAAAAGTACAATTTTAATCCATACCTTTTTGTATAATTCATTTTAAATTTCAAAAAAATTCTCCTTTTAATATAAATGTACGGCCTACAGCAGTTGCATCAAAGATTTTCTCTTTATACCGGTAAAAGTAAAATAAAATAAAAGAGTAAAGGATAATCACTTTTTAACTCTACAAAGCTGATTTTAAACAAATTCAAAAATATACATAATTTTATATTGAAGTGTAGACTCGTACGGCCTCGCAGAGGGTGCCGTTTTGGAAGAGCATTCAATTCAGGTGTTGCGTTTTGATAGCAGTGGCATGAAATTTGAAACGAGACAAATGCTAGTGCTCCTTTCTTCGTCTTTTCTTGTCTTAAACCCTAGAAAAATCAAAATCAAAGGGTACCAAATTCCATCTCCAGTAATGTCTTGGGCCTGCAAAAAATGCACCTTTCTGAATCCTCCATCTCAAAAATCGGAATGTCAAATCTGCTTGTCCTCTCCCTCTCCTCTTCTTCCTTCAACTTCATCTTCATCTTCTTCGCCCCCAAAATGGTCCTGTAAAGCCTGCACCTTCTTGAACCCTTACAACAACTCCACTTGCGAGGTCTGTGACACTCGATGCCCCGTTCCGTCACTTTCCAACTTGGACGATTTCAATGACGCCGACCACGATTCTTCGGTTGGCTCTGTTTTCTTCCCTCTTCGATCTTGCAAGAGAAAAGCCATCGACCCCATTCACGTTGTTGATGACGATTTTGCTGAAGCACCAGTGATAAAGGCATCAGAGAACATTTTTTCAGGAAAAGCTTTTAGTTCATTGAAGATCCTAAGTTACAATGTCTGGTTCCGGGAAGACTTGGAGTTGCAAAAGAGGATGAAAACTATTGGCGACCTTGTTCAGTTGCATTTCCCTGATGTTATCTGTTTCCAGGTTTCATTAGTTTAGTTATACGTAACACCTTTCTTCCGTGTGTTCTTTTGTTGCATTTTAAATTTATGTGGCTTCATCTGATTTAGTCCACTTGTGTTGTCCCTCAGGAGGTTACTCCGAATATATATGACATTTTCAAAAATTCAAACTGGTGGAATGTATATCATTGTTCTGTTTCTTCTGAGATGGCTTATTCAAGACCGTACTTTTGTATGGTGGTAAATTTCACATCTTTCATCCTTATTTTATTTGACTTCTTTGTGATATAACGCGCCTGATGTGTCCTACAATCCCCTTTTATAGTCCAGTTGTGCATGTGAGCATTATATGATACTTTTATTTTGATTATGTAGTGATTTCCTAGTTCCCGCATATCAAATTTAATCTCTGTCACCATTTCAGATGTGATTGGTATAAGTGTGCCATTTTGTCTGCTAACATCCAGTTTGTTCAGGGGTCTTCGGAAAGTAGGATCAGACATGTTCATGCTCGGATAATTGTATGCTGATATATTATAATATTTGTAATCACCGTGATAGTTTATCATGTCAACTTAGTGTTGCTGTTGTGGTATTTAATGGCTCTTCCTCTTTGGTTCGAAGTATTTTTGCATGAGTTGGAAGTTCTATATTTTTGAGTGAGCACTTCTATTTGGCAAGGAGGGAGTTATTTCTACTGACATACCTGTCAAATTAATTGCAGTTAAGCAAACTGCCTGTGAAATCTTTCAGCAAAAAACCCTTTAGCAACTCTATAATGGGAAGAGAACTTTGCATGGCTGAGGTTGAAGCTGTAAGTGGCAAGTCATTGGTTGTTGCCACTAGCCATCTTGAGAGTCCCTGTCCAGCCCCTCCGAAATGGGATCAGATGTTCAGCAAGGAACGAGTAGAGCAGGCCAATGAGGCTTTGAACCTTCTCAAGAAGCACCCTAATGTTGTTTTTGGAGGTGACATGAACTGGGACGACAAACTGGATGGTCAATATCCTTTACAAGATGGGTGGACTGATGCCTGGTCTCAGCTAAGGCCAAATGAAAGTGGTTGGACTTATGATACAAAGTCAAACCAGATGCTGACGGGCAACCGTACTCTCCAAAAGCGATTAGATCGTTTTATTTGCCGTTTCCGTGATCTGCAGATAAGCAGTATTGACATGATTGGGATGGATGCAATACCTGGTGTGCTATACAACAAAGAGAAGAAAGCAAGAAAAGAGATAAAACAACTGGAACTCCCTGTTTTGCCTAGTGATCATTATGGCCTGCTTTTGACAATTTCTAGTAAGTAATGCTGCTCTGGAGATATTCTGGCTGTTGAAGCTATTATTCTCACTCTCTGATGTTGCTGTATCTAAGGCATGTTTTGCATGCAATTTTGTATAGACTTAAGCAAAAATGTAAAGGATTATTGACATTGAACATGGGGACAAAATGCTATATTTTCAGACTTTTATGTGCTGCCTTGTTGGTTAAAATTTTTCTATTACGCTTTTCATTCCGTTTTCAAAGTATTGCATTCCCTTTCCTTTTGTGTTCGAAGGGTTCATACTATTCTCTAGTTTTAATACCATTTTTTCTCTTGGCCTGTATCCTAAGTAGCCTTGCATAGGAGTTAGAATTTTGTTGTACGTTTGAGAGAGTTGGTTTACCTCAATATTTTATATGAAAAGCTGTTATCAGCAGTGGTGACTGATGAGGGAATGCTAACGTTGAACGGTCGATATAATCCATGTATATACAATGCCGACAGACCGTGTACCTGTCCCAAAAATTCATCCCTCGAAATATCAGGTGTTTTTTTCAAGTATTCAAACCCGAATCTGCCAAAATATAACAGAACAGTACCGAAATTTAAAGATATGCATTCTTGCGTGGAAAGTAATTTTCTTTTTCTTCTTTGTTGTTGGTTTTAGTATTCCTATATTAAGTTCAATGATCCAGAGACGACTTGCTTGGGTACTTGCCTTTGGCTCTGAACGTGTCGCTGAAGCAATGGCCAATCTCAGCAGCTTGTATATACCGTTCGTTACTGCCTTGATATCAAAATTCCTCTTTGGTGGTGTTTGTAGAAACTTCCGTTTTATCCCCTCTTTTGGCTCGTAGTAATCAAGCAGAACTTCAAAATATTTACATGAATGAATGTCAGTTTCAATTTAAAGATATGTTTTATGTAAATGATGCATGTGCACTAGACTTCTAATGGAAGTGCTTAAGCAATGCTTTATTGGATTGATCTCGATCATACACACATCTATATTTTGAACTTTATATATATATATATAAAAGGGAATGTTATATTTACAAGTTTTTTATTTACAAACTCTTATAAACTATACTAAGTATGACTAGTCATACTTCAATCAAGAGTGTATGACCCGGTTATACTTAGTGTAATTTGTAAAAATAATTTGTAAATGAATCCTTCCCCGTATATATATATATATATATATATATATATATATATATATATATATGATGGGTTTAATGTTTTTTTTTGTGACATTTGTTTTTTATAATTTTCTGTAAACCCTTTAGTTATTGTCTTGCTTTATATTTGCCAATAGCCTGAGACCCTTAAGTTGCTGGTGTAGGTTAGGGATAAAAGTGAGCTTGGCTGGGCCGAGTTTTGTCTCTAAAAGTTTAAGTTCATGTCAAAAAAATTCAATTCGGCCTGACCTGGTAGCATAGTATGAGCCTAAGTGTTAGTCTAGCTTGACTCATTTATAAAAAAACAAATGACTTGGTCTGATCTGTTGGCATGTAATTTTTAACTTTCAAACAGAATTATAATCAACTTCACAAAACACTCCAAATCTAGTGTTAAAACAAAAATGACAATTTCAACGTCCAAGCAGAATCATGGATCACAATAACAATTCATCGCAAACTGCATTTAAATCACTTTCAGAAGCAAAATGTTCAAATTAAATAACATATATTTCATCATATCCAACAAAACGATTAATATTATGTAAATTAAAATAACTACATGAATCCAACAAACACATCATGATACTTTTAGTAGCTAAAAACTTCTCATCATCTTCTTTCCCCTACAAATACAATTCTAAGGTTACATAAGTTGACAAATAATTTGTAAATGTAGAAAACAAAAAACAAGATTAAAGAATAGAAAGAAAAAAAATTAAGAAATAAAAAAAATCTTTTAATATATTCATATAGGCAATCTCACATTCTGAGATGTTAGTTCTTCCTACATAAGAAATAAAATCAGACTTCTATTAAAATTTAATCAAATATAATTAAATTATAAAATAATTTCAATTAATTAAATTTATAACTTTTATTTTTTCTTCAAGCTATACTTATTACGTAGCCAATCTCAACCATATATTAAAGTTTGGATGGTATCTTCAGCCAAATTAAAACTGAGTTCACATACACCAACTGAGTTATCATTGTTTTGTACCACTGTGAATAATATTATTTAATTTAAAATAAATAATATGATATAAACTTGCTTGTAGGCTTATAGGCTCTTTATGTAAAAAAAGATCTATAAGATGCTTTCTAATTTCTAAATAGCTTTTTTTTTTAAATCTGAATCTGTTTTATTTGATTATATATAATAGATCAAACCTAAGTTAATATAAATTAGGTCGTAAATTTTTGTAAGGCAGCGCGACACACTTTCACCCGTAGTGTCGGTAGACCAGCAGAAGGGATATTTGGAAGGAATAACAGACTAGACTTATGAGGGGACGATGGAGCGATAGCAAGGCAGCAAGTGACCTAGAATTGTATTGATAGCTTTATTAATACATTAATTCCGGGGACAATTGCCCTATTCTCATTTCAGATAGCATTCATTAAATTGCTAGTACGTTTTGTTTTGCTGGCCCCACTATCCGTTGAGCTGGAGGTCACGGTAATGACTTCATCTAAACGGTTTTCAATGCAAATTCATGAATGTTATTGTGCTTGCCGACAGCATCTTTTTGTGTTTTGTGCTTTTGTACATACCATCTCCCATTAGTTGAACCACTTTTTCTAGTAGTAAAAATGTAAAATAATAAGAGTGACCGGTGCTGATTTTAACTTCGTAATACGTCACGTTCGAGCAAACATTTGGTGCTACTCGGTTTCAAAAAAGCAAAAAAATTGAAATAAGAATGGAATAAAAATGAAAATGTGAGTTTAAATAGAAAGAAAATTTACTTTATTTAAAAAAAAGATGTACCCAAGTGATACATCCAATTTACTGAAGAAAATTCCGTCACGTTCTTTTTATAAGATATGAAATATGTGACTGTTGTTAACAATGAAAAATATTAAAAAAAAGCCATAAGGGTAATTCAGAAAAATATGAGATATTGCTTGGTTGGACCACAATACTGGGGAAAGATGACCTGGGGCCAGAACATAACCATCAATGTACTCTGCCATCGTTGGTCTCCACTAAGTCACATGATGTGTTAGGAGAAAAAAAATATAAATAAATAAAATCAAAGAAAATGCGGTGAGCGTGGATCGAACACGCGACCTTCAGATCTTCAGTCTGACGCTCTCCCAACTGAGCTATCCCCGCAAGTTGTAGTTCTTTATTTTGTCAGTAAAATAAACTTTGTTAAATGCCTTTAATTCATTTTTAAAGTTAACATAAAAACAAAGATATAATATATTTGGAAAAAAGTAACCATATAAAAATCATGGAATTTCATGATTATAAAATCAAGATTTTCATTTATCTTTTAATTCTAAACTCTACTTGATTTTAAAATTAAATTAAATTAATTAATTATTAATTAGTCTTCTTGAACCATTCCTTACTAAATTGAAACTTGTACTAAATTTTTTTTTGTATGTCTATAAAGGAGCAATTTTATAAGTTAAGAAAGAGATACATACATGTTAACAAGAATAATTAAACAAATAGAAAAATCAAAGATAATGTTAACAAAATTAAAAACTTAAATTTAACGTGAAGAAATAAAAACATAGAATTAGATATAAAATAAAAAATTATAATATTTTTTAAAATCATTTTTATAAAGCCAGTACTGAATTGATATTAATACATTAATATGTTCAAACTATAAATTAAATAAATAATTAAACACGAGAGTTTATAAGATATCTTGTAATAGAGTAGTGTTGGAGAAATTTTTAAATTGAACCTTAAAGAAATAACTCGAACAAATTACGGATAAATAACAAATAACTTTGTAGGTATATATTACATCTCTTGATGTATCCTCATCTGTTATGTTTAGTCTCCACTTTCTGATTAATAAAGATAGAAAATATTATATTTTTCATATTATTTAATTTTTTTGAACATGTTCCATGTGATATTAATAATTGTACTATTTTACTTATTTGTATAAGTTGGATGCATGTTCATACTTGATTTATTTAATAGTAGTTAGTGACAATGGGAGTGAACTGTTATCCCAAGTAAAATTTTTTTGCAACATCAATGGTTCGAATCATGAAGTTATGGGAGGGCTTTACTAACCACCACTTCTAGTCCAAGGGATTAATCTCACATCTATGTTTGTGGCGTCATAGATTAGATTGGATTAGTTTCAATAGAAAAATGCACTAATTCAATATAATTTGTTTTCCTATTCGGTCAGTTTTTTAAAAATAAATCTAGTATATTCCAATTTAAATAATTTATATTATATTGATTCTCTGATTTTTTTTGCTAGATTTTTTTAATGTATAAATTCATCAAAATTTACAAATATAATTTCATAAAAAAAATCTAATATATGTCTAAAATGATTCATCAAAATAGAAGTTGAAAGAATTCATCAAAATACAGTAAAACACAAATTTGAATTCTAAATATAATTTCATATCAACGTCAATTCTACAATGTATGTCCAAATCTTGAAGAGAAATTAAGCCCTAACTAAGGTTATTAAAATTATTATAAAAGAAATTATTAAATTACTCTTTTATAAAAATATTCATGAATCATGATACAATACGAGTTTACAGTTTAATATTTTTGTAAATTTAAAATTTCAGATGCATGTGAATTCAATTCATCAACTTCAATATTAAAAAATTGGACGCAACTTGAGCGTGCAGTGTGCGGCAGACTGCAGTGAAACTAAATACGAGGAGAGTGAGGAACCCTGATCTATTACAGAGGTCAGTGGGGACCACTCTTAAACTAAAGCATGTGATCCTGACGGTCCATTATTGTCCCGGTAGATCTCGCGCTCTGACAGCTCACTCCATCTTTCTTTGCTTTCGCTATCAAACAAAACTGAGCACCCTGCCCCTTCACGAGCAATTCTTGGTAATTTTCTTTTCTTTTTTTAATAAATTAAATCAGTAATAAATATAATTTGATTGAAACTAAGAAAATAATTGTATAACATTATAATTTATACAAAAATTGGAGTACACAACAACTTATCTTCCAACAATTTCTTCAAAGAAAAAAAACTCATTTAAAGTATAATTGTTAAATAAAGAAAAAATAGATTCTTACGCTTAATTTTCAATAAATAAAAATTGTAATATTTATAATGAAATAAAAAATAAATATAGCTTTAATAATAATTTCTTTATAAACAAGTTTATTTTAAGGGTTTTATTAGTGTTATGTAATATAATGTAAGTGTTGTTTCCAACTCTCACATCAAAAGGAATAGCGAAAGTGGAATGATGAAAGAGAAAGAAAAATATGTAGACCCCACCTCTTTAATGTGTGTGTAAGAAAGTGAAGTTATATTATGTTAAATGATAAACATGAAACCCTTGTTTTAATCTATGCGAGTCTTTAGCATTGTTCGGACAAGTTTCGTACAATTCCGCTTTCCCAGGAAACAACTCCACTAACGCAAAAATATCTAAACATAAAAAAATAATAATTATTTTTTCATGTGTAATTTATCACCATGTTTAGTCAGAAGATTATATCCATATTATCTTAAGTCAATGATATTAAGAGATGAGAGAGAATAAATATTAAAATAAAAAATTATAAAATCATAATTATTGACTTGCACATTGATAACTAAGATTATCTCAAATGACATAAACATATTATTTAATATATGAGAGGATTCATTTAAAAAATACAAACAAAAAAATATAAAGGCAAAAGTAAATTAGTGGTAATAAAAAATGAGAGATAAATATTAAAATAAAAAATTACAAAATCATAATGATTAATACGTACATTTACTACTAAAATTCTCTCAAATTACATCGTCATATTATTTAACGAGGATTCATTTAAAAAAAATATAAAAAAAAGTATAAGGGCAAGGGGAAGCCAGAAAAAGTGAGACAGTTTATAGTAGTAGACTTGGTAGTAAGTTCTCTTGTCCATTTTTTAACTGGCGCTTAGATCTTTGTTTTACAACAATGAACAGATCTATCATATAGAGCTTCACATTACAAGCAAGCAACAAGTTAACACTCTTCCTGTTTTGGTGTTTTGCACTGAGTGTATACAAAATGAGACCATGGGATGTTCTCTCTTCTTTCATTCTTCTTGTCACATTCCTTCTTACTTCCGTCAACTGTGAAGACCCATATAGGTTCATCACTTGGAAGGTCACTTATGGTGACATCTACCCTCTTGGTGTTAAGCAACAGGTACTTCCATTATAACGCTTTCTCTTCTTTCCTTCTTTTCTTTCCAAGTAACTAACTGCAATTCTTGTTTCGTGTTGATCTTATGGTTCTGTTCTCCTGAGAAAGGAAATATTTTTTCGTATCTTTATTCTGAGCAAATGGACGGGTAGTCCTTCTTGAAGATGTTTGAGTTCAATGTGGTTCTTCTTCGTTTCAATTTTGCAGGGGATCTTGATTAATGGGCAGTTCCCGGGTCCTCAAATAGACGCCGTTACAAATGACAACTTGATTATCAGTGTTTACAACTACCTTAGAGAACCATTCCTCATTTCATGGTATATTCTTGTATCTCATTCCTACCTGCATTGTTGTGTTTTTGTTCATTTAGTCTTTGTCATGGAAGCGTGCGTGCCTTTTACAAAAGTAACATACGGGTGGAATACATGCTATTAATACTATCTTTTAATACCAGATTAAAGAAAAAAAAAAAAATAACATTAAAAGTTCCTCCCTTTTTTTCGAGCAAAACAATGTGTTTTGCTTCTAACTTCTCTAGTAGATCACGTGAACTTATTCGCTTTTTCCCCCGGACATAAGGTGTTCAGAACCCACATAAATTGGCATATTTGATTTATTAGGTGGTTAGTATGGTAGTTAAACAAAATCTTAGCCCATGAAAAAGGGGGTAAATCTTAAAATAAATGGGAGCACAGAGACTTGCTAGCGTATGTTGGTCTTTTTGGCCCCTTGTCGAATTACTCTTTTTATGGTAAATCCACTATCAAACAAACAGCCAATTATATATTGGACTCCATTTTAAATGGTGCTTTATGGCCTATATTAACTAACATTATGTTTATTAGACTGGCTGCATAAAAGGACTCATAATTATATTATTCTGTTTGAGCAGCTTGCAGTTGACTGGCTATATATATAGATCCATGTTATTAAAATAGTATATTTGAGTAGCGGGCAACGTAGGAAGGCGACCTAACACATTCAAGATGTCTTACCTACAACTACAATGAAATTTATTGGTATGGTTGAGTATATTTATACTCCTTAACTCCACAAAAGTGTCCATCCAATCCAACTAAACCATGTGAGCTATGACCCTCGGGGTGCTGCACTAAACATCCCTAGGACAGTGCTACATGAGTTGGTCTAAGTAAATATTATTTTTCACTTTACACAATAGGGATTGATTTATTGTTTAGCAATGCGAGTTTTGATTCTCAGATTTGAGTATGATCTCGTCCTAAATCTTTTATTTGATTTGATATGCAAAGTTTGATCATGTTCCTTTTGTAACAAAACAAAGCGCCAATTAAAAAAAGTTTGTGAATGATATAGAAACCTAAATGCAGCAGGAGTAACCTCATTTACAGTTTGTTGGAATTTGGGACAGGGTGGAATTACTGATATGATAGCATCAGATCATGGAGTTGCAAAATTGTTAATTTTTGAAGATGTGCTTACTATGCAAATCCATTATTGTGTCATTCTGCCCAACTATTAGAGAAATCTGTAAAGAACCAATTCAACCCAAAAGCTTAAGTTGATGGATGAGGGCTTTTTAATGGTTTGTACTATTCTCTAACACGCCCCCTCACACGAGAGCCCACTGGGCTTGAAGGGTGGACGATGCACAGGCTCACCTACCTGTGTGAAGAAAGAAATTCCACTAGAGAAAGTGGGCGGCGGCGAGGATCGAACCCATTCCATTAGAGAAAGTTGGGGGCGGTTAAGATCGAACTCGGAAAATGAGGCTCTGATATCATGTAAAGAACCTTGGGATACACCACCCCAAAAGCTAGCTCAAAGGGTGGGAGTACCCAAGGCCTTATAAACTCCACATTAGTTGCTCATATAACTAATGTGGGACTATATATCTCAACAAAATCCAATATTAAACCATTAATGTGGCCCCTACACATACATAATACCTTGAGCTTTTAGGTGAGATGATTGTTTAAAATGGTATGAGCCCATGATCAAGTGGTCATGAATTTGATCCTCACCACGCCAAATGGTGTGTGAGGGAATGTGTTAGAGAAGTTTAGTATAAAACAATTAACGTGTCCCTTACTTAATAGCTTGATTGTAAAATTCTTCATAACATTTTTAGGCATGAACCTGATCAACGATTCAACTTAAAATGGAATGGAATTGTACTCCCTCTTGAGTGTGTTTCTTGCAAAATAATCAAGGTTCTTTGTGAAGATAAACTTAAATGCAACATGGTTTAAGCTGATTAAATCAGATTTCATGAATGAATGTATATGCTAACTCTTCAGAATTGATGGTTTTTGCTATTTCATCGTTTTATCTTATGTCCGATCAATAACAATAGTTTTATGAATTCTAACTAATTTAAGTGAATGATATAGTTTATTCACTTAGCAGAAAGAAATGGTTATATTTGGTTGGAATTTGATGGTGTTAAGGTATCTATCTCCTGCAGGAATGGCATACAGCATAGGGGTAACTCATGGCAAGATGGAGTCTTTGGCACGAGCTGTCCAATCCCACCGGGGAAGAACTTCACTTATGCTCTCCGGGTGAAAGACCAGATTGGTAGCTTTTTCTACTTCCCATCTCTTGGAATGCATAAAGCTGCTGGAGGATTTGGTGGCATCAGAATTTGGAGCCGCCCTCTCATTCCTGTCCCTTTCCCTCCTCCTGCAGGGGACTTTACCATACTGGCCGGAGATTGGTTCAAGATAGACCACCATGTAAGCCCTTTGTATTTATAAAAATATCTTCCTCTTTCCCATTCATCCTCCCCTTAATGCTTACTTCTGTTATTTTAGAGACTAAGACGAGTACTAGAGAATGGTCATAATCTCCCCTTCCCTGATGGGCTTCTTATCAATGGACGGGGTTGGAATGGAAACACATTCACTGTTGATCAAGGTAGGTACCCAAATAACTTGTGATTGATTTTAAAACACTTCTGAACTTTCTTATACTGTGCTACAAGTCTACAACTGTAAGTTGTCAAACGCATGCCTTTCATTACACCATTTTTTCAATGTTTTATCTGCAGGTAAGACTTATAGATTCAGGATATCAAATGTGGGGCTCACAACATCCATCAACTTCAGGATCCAAGGGCACAACTTGAAACTTGTGGAGGTAGAAGGATCTCATACCCTCCAAAACAGCTATTCAAACCTTGACATCCATCTGGGACAGTCCTATTCTGTGCTGGTCACAGCTGATCAGCCTGTCAAGGATTACTATGTAGTTGTCTCGACAAGGTTTACCAGACAGATACTCACAACAACTGCCGTTCTTCATTACAGCAATTCACGCACGGGGGTTTCTGGTCCTGTTCCTCCAGGGCCTACCCTTGGTATCACTTCGTCTATATATCAGGCCAGAACTATCCGGTACTCTTTTGCTCGCTTATTTCTATTTTCTTGAAGCCTATATATCTACTGCCTATGGTGTTTATCATTTTGGATCAAACTTCTAGTAGTTTAAAAAATATATGTTTCTCATAAATACCTTGAGTAATACGCAAGTAGTTACTTTTTTTAAGTACTGAACCAATATTTAATGGGAGTCCAGGTTTATTCCATCTGGAGCAATATAATCACTCCATTTTAAAGATCAATCTAGAAGAAGTAACAAGAGTAGAATCAGTACTTTTGAATTAGCTAGCCAATAACTACTTGTTCTGTTTTAATGCTCCTCATACCAGCTGGAACCTGACAGCAAGTGGACCAAGACCAAACCCTCAGGGATCTTACCACTATGGATTGATCAATCCCACTCGAACCATCATGCTTGCAAACTCTGCACCTTATATCAATGGCAAGCAGAGGTATGCTGTCAACAGTGTCTCATATTTAGCACCAGATACCCCATTGAAACTTGCTGACTACTTCAACATCCCTGGAGTTTTCTATGTTGGAAGCATTCCTACCAACCCCACCGGAGGCAATGGCTACCTCCAAACTTCTGTCATGGGGGCTAATTTCCATGAATTTGTCGAGATTGTGTTCCAAAATTGGGAGGATTCTGTGCAGTCATGGCATATTGACGGCTATTCCTTCTTCGTTGTAGGGTAAGCTTGCAGGTACATTATTATTTAAACTAATTCTTTGTCTGAATTCTAGTTATCTAACGTATCATTTTGTGAGATGAATAGGTTCGGTAGCGGGCAGTGGACAACTGAAAGTAGAGCACGCTACAATCTTAGAGACACTATTGCTAGATGCACCACTCAGGTATAAAGCATGGACCGAGTGTCCTACTCCTATTGATGATTAACTAAACCGTTTAAAAAAACTACAGTTGAGCTACAAACCATTCTGATGCTTCCATTTTTTTTTTTTTTTTTTTAATTTTCCTTTCTCAATTGAACTCAGGTTTACCCGAAATCATGGACTGCAATATACATGGCTTTGGACAATGTGGGAATGTGGAACATAAGGTCTGAGAACTGGGCAAGGCAGTACTTGGGACAGCAATTTTATCTGAGGGTATATACATCTTCCAAGTCATGGAGAGACGAAAATCCTGTCCCAAAGAATGCTCTTCTATGTGGCAGGGCAAGTGGTCGTCGCACAAGGCCTTTCTAATTTAGGTTAAAATGCATTGGATAGCTTCATGTCACGAGAGGGTGGCATATTATTTATGTGTGTAATTTTATAGTATACGTGATGAGAGCTCACCTTGAGCTTCCAGTTATTTATCTGTTAGTCTCATTTTTTTTTTTATTTTTTTTTGACGGATGATGAGGTATTTGCAGGGGTATTAAGTATGAACATTAATGTATTAATAAATCAAATGCTGAAGAATAAAGTCAGCATTTTTCGAAGTGTATGAAGAAACTGTCTGGGCTCAAATACACCCGTGACTCCACGCAGCACGGTGTTTGTTTTGAACGTGCTCGTGACCCAATATACGTATATATATATATATATATATATATATATATATATGCAAACTAGCTAGCTTGTATACCAGTTCATTTCACGGCTTGTTTTTAAATAGTTAACTTATAATAAGTAAATATAATTAAATACGCAAGGCTTGAAGAATGTAAATAATCAGATGTAGAGGTAGAGAGCACACTAAGAACATAATGTTACTTAGTATATTTAATAGTAACAATAATGCTGCGTATTTCTCAGCTAACTTACAAAGAGTTGTGAGGATACTGTTGCTCGAGATGAATTAATTGCAGAATTCACCTTGCTCTATTACTGGTACTCTTAAAAAAAATGAGTATCTGCATACTTATACATTTATTCTGATGCTATGTTACTTGTTAAAGAACACTTAACATTCTATATTAAATACTGCTAGTCAATTAAAAAAATGAATACTTTTTGAATTCCTAATATATCATATTATGTTATTTAAAGTTTAATACTTACTTTTTTTTTTCTCAATTCCTTAACCGATGTGTGCACACTATTTAACAAATTTTCGTGCCGTTTCTCACAACCCAACACAAACCTATGTAGTATGTACCCTATCATTAGCAAAAGCCACTAAGGCCCAACTTAACGAGCGTGGGTAATAATTGGACTCACAGCAGCTATAGCCTGGGCTTTCGTTAGTAGAAGCCCAATTTTAATTACAGGCCCAACTTAATCAAAACCCTTCTTCAACCCTCAACTTCAACCTGAACGAACAGGTTCAGTTCTGACTAAACGAAACGGGGCAACGCAGCATCGTTTGGCTCTTCTCCACAGTCGCCTCCGTTCACGGTGGTCCTAACCAAGAGACATGGCGGACGTGGTGCAGTACAGATTGGAGCGCATGCTCGACGAGCTCGATGATCTGGAGCAGCGTGGCCTCTTCAGCCGCCGCGAGATTGCGGAAATCGTGAAGCAGAGGCGAAAATTTGAGTACAGGCTTAAGCGGCCGAGTCCTCTGAAGCAGGATTTTTTGGCTTACGTGGAGTACGAGACTCAGCTGGATGCCCTCCGCAGGCTCCGGAAGAGGTCGGCGGCGCGCGAGTTGAAGAAGCAAGGGAACAAGAAGTTAAAGAAATCAAAGTCTGATTTCGCTGGCTTGCTCAGGATTATGGAGATTTATGAGCTCGCTTTGAAGCGTTACAAGGGAGACATTGACCTCTGGTTTCGGTACCTTGAGTTTTGCAGACAGAGAAAAAATGGCAGGATGAAGAAGGTAACTTTATGTTAGTTAGTAACCTAGATTTTGATTAAATGTGATGTTGGGTTCTTGGAATGAAGCATAGACACTGACATAGTGACATGGACACGCCAAATTTTGTTCATAGGATTTTGCCTTCATTGTTTTTTTTTTTTTTAAGCCTGTGAACATTTTCCATTTTAATTTTTGCAGGCCCTGGCAAAAGTTATTCGGTTTCACCCAAAGGTCCCGGGAGTTTGGATTTATGCTGCAGCTTGGGAGTTTGATCATAACTTAAATGTTGCAGCTGCTCGTGCTTTAATGCAGGAAGGTCTCAGAGTTTGTCCAACATCTGAAGACCTTTGGGTAGAGTATCTTCGGATGGAGCTTACATACATTAACAAGCTAAAGGCCAGGAAAGTTGCTTTAGGTGAGGATGAGGGGACTCTGACCCATGATCCTAGAAGTGCTGATGAAAAACAATGGAGAGATGAAAACAAAGAGCTGTTTATGTCTCTTAATGAAAAAGAGAATAATGATGGAGCAAACATTGAAATTGATGAATCAAAGAAAAAACCGGAATTATTTGAAGAGCATGGTATGAACATTTTTCGAACTATCTACCATGGAGCAGTTGAAGCTGTCCCTTCAAGTCTAAGTCTTAGGAAGCGGTTTTTTGAAATATTGGAGGGCACAAACTTAGCACATTCTGAAGATATGTGTAAGGAGATACTGAATGACATGAAGAGGGATTTTTCAACAGATCCAGAATTCTGGGACTGGCTTGCAAGGCATGAATGTGATCTTGAAAATGTGCCGGAGATAAGTGAAGAAGTCATAATTTCCCAGGTGCAAAAGGCAATTGAGGTATGAATCTGTGAGAACTACTGAAACCGTTGGGTGCAATGTATTTGAGTAAATGCTTTTCTTGTGACTGAGATTTATGAATGATTTAACTTGAAACTAGGAAAAGCAAGCATATTGTGATCATGGAGGTTACTATGATAACCCTATTTTTCCTATACCCCTGCATCAAAGAACAATACTGTTTGGATAGGGGCTACTGCAGAATTTTTCTGTGATTTTCTTTTTTGGTGTGCCTATATTGGTCTAATGAAACCTTGGGCCCTTTTTGTTTTGTTTTGTAGATTTATGAGGAGGCTTTGAAAAGTTTGCCTTCAGGAACTATGTTTAGTTTGTATGGAAATTTTCTAATGGATATTGCAGCTCCTAAAGAAGGAGAAACCAATATAACTGGGTCATCAGGTCATGCTGGAGACTATATATCACATCTCCTGTCAATATATGAAAGGGCTGAAAGCATGGGGTGTGTTACTGAAGATCTTTCTTGCAAGCATGTGTCCTTACATTTGCAATTGAGACAGTTGAATGAGGCCAGGAAACTGGCAGCAAAGCTTTGCAGTGGAAAACTTGCTGAGTCGGTACAGTTATGGGAATTAAGAATCACTATAGAAATTAGATGCATCACAAGAAGTTCTTCTCCACCAAGGGATGCTGATTTGCTATCCCTCTTTGAACTCCTTAGACAAATTTTGGTGAAAGTGCCTGTTTCAAAATCAGAGAACTTGTGGGTAAAGGTATGTTGTCACCACCTTTTTATGTTTCTTCTCTCTTGGAGGGAGCCATGTCTTGTATAAAATCTGCTTCAATCAAATCAGTTTTGACCTGAATTTCTGTTGCCTCTGGGTTTAATTTATAAAATACTTGTTTGTTCTTTGATGATTGAATTTTTGAACACTTTCCTGGTTAGAATTACTTGGCTTACTTTTTCCTATACAGTATCCATATGTTTCTCCTGGAGAAGATTAAATGTTTGTTGGTTATTGTTAAAGTAACGATTCATGAAACTCCAAAAATATCGTCTCAAAATGATTTATTTCGAAGTTGGATTTTGATTTATTTCTTGTTAGCAGTTAGCTGTTAGACTTAACCAAGAGATTCTTAGTAGATTCTGTTAGTAATTGATGTGCAGTTACTGCCAGTTGTCTGTTAGATCTATATATTAGTGCTGTTCTCTGTAATTGAGATTCAGAAAAGAATAGGATTTTAGTTTCAGATTCGGAACATGTTTCCTTTCATATATTTATCTCTTAACCTTCCTTCATTTTCCTTAATTTTCTTTCATTTTCTCTCACTTTCCTTCTCTGCACCATAACCTCTAATGTTTCTCTTGTCTTGTAATTTGCCATTTGAAACTGAAGTTGGGGTTCGTTTCTTCTTGTCTTTCAATTTCACTAAGCATTGAATTTTGTTTTCTGCCCTCACATGGATGATATTTGGAGATGATTACATCTCCTTAATGCTGAAAATCTTTATTTTTAGCCCCAACATTCTGTGTTATTAATTGTTCATGCATTTTTTCTTTATTCAGTTCAGCTTGAATTGATTTTTCCTTCACTTGTACTGTTTTGTATACTATTAAATCCACGGAGTTCTTAAATCAGTTCATCTTTCTAACTGTCACACAATACAGGCTCTTAAATTCTATGCTAATCAAAGACAGTATTTTGATAAACTGGTGGAGATTTCTGTTTTTTCTTTGGCCAGAGATGGTGGCAGTGAAAATGGATTTTCCCTTTCTTTTGCCATTGTAAGTTTTATACTTCAAAAGGATGGAATTCAGCAGGCCAGAGATTTCTATAAACGGTATTTGCTGTAGAATTACCTCCGGGTGTTGTTTTTATTTTGACGGGGATGTTTTCTGTCTTGTATCTATAATTCTTCAACTTGTTCTCGTTGCAGATTTCTAGCTTTACCTCATCCTGGCCTTGCTTCATATAGAAATTGCATTGACCTGGAAACAAACCTTGCATCAGTAGGAGATAACGATGGTCTAGTAAATGCCAGGAAATTATATGAATCTGCTCTTGCAACTCATGACCAAAATGTCAGCTTGTGGCAAGATTACTATAGTATGGAGACCAAGGTAAAGTTTTATTTTTCTTGTTCTGGCATGACTGCTGCTGAAACCGACAAAGTATGTCTTAAATTTTAAATTCTTTGCTGGAGTATTTGGATAGCGTAGCATTCAAATCAAATGATGCATCCATGACTTTATTTTTTGGGGCTGATTATGCAGATGGGAACATCAGAAAAAGCTTCTGCTGTCTATTGGCGTGCAAGGAGAATACTCAAAGATGCTAGTAAATTTGTTGCTTCAGATTTGTAATATTTTCTAAATTAAGATCATGGCTATTGGAATTCAATTTTGACCACTTTTATTATAATATAACATGCACCCGTGTGCGTATGCCGGGTCTTGCTAATGAGTAGTAGTTAAATTTATGTACATGTAATTTCAAAAAAAAAAAAAAAAATTTATGTACATGTACTCATTCATGAGTGGAGCCAGCACGCTTTTAAAAAACTATCGAATCTGATATCGGCGTGTCACCGCGTGTAGGCATCTTCAGTTGCAGGAGGAAAAATAATTGCGAAGTAGATACAATAAGGTGAGCGGAAAGTGTTGTGTTAATATAATTTTAAAGATAAACTAAAACACTCAATCAATGAATGGACCAACTGACAATTAATTTTCCTCCAATTTTATGTTATACATGAGGCAAGCGAATAAATAAGGACGTTATATATAATGTGACGCCTAATAAAATGTACAAAATATAAATCCATGTCAACGTATTTAACATAAGAAGACTCCATGCTATTTAGTTTTTTCTTTGCTTTCCTTTTTAATCTCCTAAATGGCACGGTGTTGCCATCCTCGTTAGCAAATATGGAATTCAACTGAACGTGGGGAGGAGTTGTTGGGAAACGGATTTAACTTGATCTCACGCTCTATACTCTCGGCCACTGTGGACTCACTACCTGCAACAGCCAATTCACCACATGTAAATTTTGTATCTATTCTTCTAATATGAGCACGATTCGTGAGACACTATAGAATAATCGTCTCTAAAATATACAGTTGATCATCTTATTCTTCTCTAATTACTATTTTTTTTATCAAGTTAAAATTCCAGTAAACGAACCAATGTGAGATCCATGTTCCTCCCTTAATCTGATCATATCACGGATTGATCAATAAACATGTCAAACGCTCAAATACATTGTGGTCCCTATGTTACTAATAATAATCACAAAACATAAATTCCTAACCTCGAGTGTGCTAAAGATTAAACGCATCCGGCTAGCAACAACTGACGGTTTCTCAGCTTGACCCATCACAGCCGTTTGCTCTAGTTGAAGAGTCTTCACAGGAAGCCTTCAATAAACACATAGTAAGCAATACTGTGAACTTCCAATAGGCTTTTGTTGCTTGAAAACTTTAGTTAATGCACCACAGCCAAGTAAGAGAACAAAATTACCCACTAAATGAGTTGAAGACATTTAAAATAGTAGTAAGTAGCAACAACAACGATTCTGGTAGACAATATTCATTTTGGGAAGCCTAACATTCAGAATTGACAGCTATCAAAACTCACACAACTACAAGTATGCAAAAAAAAGAAAAAGGGAGAAGAAAGAAGGGGGGTTGAACTTCAAAAAAAAAAAAAAGGAAGAAGAAAGAGGGGGGGTTGAACTTAAAAAAAACAAAACAAAACATGCAAGCATGGCATCTCACCAAGCCATTCCCTTCATATAATATGCATTTGCTATCAGAGCACAAAAGCCTTTCCACTGAAGTCTCACTTCATCTGACACCGGAGGTGTAGATGACCATCTAACAATAGTTGGTTGGGGTGTACACAAGATGGTGATGAATATAATGCTTAACCAGAGAATGCACTCGTCAACCTGCATGACATAGAAAATCCAGAATAAGACAACATATCAGAATTCATGACCAACAAAATAAAGTTAATGTTTGTGGGCTGAGGCAGCCTCTTTGCCTCTAGAATACTGAAGATTGAAATGTTCCGAAGATAAATTGAAGAGACTTGGCTTTGAAACACTAAGATGAGGCTCTTTAGATATAGAGGCAAGCCTGTCTCGATGAATTTGGTGGACATGAGGGAGAAAATCAGAAAAATCTCCCTCCTTTACATAAACACTGAATTAAGCTCTGACAATATTCTTAAGGCTAATCCTCTAAAGAAATTCTTGTGACGATCATGATTCAGGACTTCGAATTAGCTGAACCAAGTGGTTAAAATCGAAGAAGAACTGACCTCCTCTGAGATTATGTTAGATTTCAAGCTTGTGCTTCCACCATAACTTTTCATTGCTTCAATTTCAAAACCAGAGTCCTTCATATCAGCAAGTTCTTTCCTCAATCCTTCATCAGTGCATCCAAGTGCATATGCATTTACCCCAGCAGTGATGAACTCCTGGGATTGAAATTAAAACAGACAAATTAGTTAAGTGTGTGAAGGAAGAAGTATTGCAAGTAAGGCAAAGGAAATACTTTTAGATTGTCAGCGCCACCACGATCAATGAAATTCCTGTATCGCCTAAACAAGCTGATGGCTATGTTACGTGAAGAACGATACTCATCCTCTGATGAAATGGAATCACGTGACCCACACTGCTGCCATGCCAAAACATCTCAATCACCAAATACAAGGAAGGAATAAATGATAATAATTAATGAAACCCATTTTATGAAGAGCATGCTTACCAGCCATTTATGTGTTGCAACATGATGGAATAGATGGTGCTTATCATATATCCCAGAGGCAGAGAAGGAGGAACTATGAAATAAGTTACTACAAGGACTACCAAAAGGTTTAGGAAAAGAAGGATTACAATTCACGAAATTAACATTATTGGTATATGTTTGACGGACAGAAGCTGAATCTTGATATAAATGAGACTTTAGAATAGCTCTGGGAGCATACGCCGGTAGCATCTTTGAACCATGATATTATTATTGTTCCCTTCCAAATAACCAATACATAAATAAATAAATAAATAAATAAATAGAAAGGGAAATGAAATAAATTAAAACATGAGGAAGAAAATAAAATGGGGCTTGGAGAGGGAGAACGATACCTGTTGGGGAGGGTAAGCTTAGGAATAACTCATCCAGCAAATAGAAATAGCAATAGAGGCAAAGTGAGTTAGAGGGTTGGGTTTGGTAAAGAGAAAAATATATTTTATAGAGAAGAATCAGAATCAGAGAAACGAAACGAAACGGGGATTGAAGGGAACCACGAATTCTATGAATGGTTTCAGGCTGCCAGGGATCGCTTTCTCGCTTTCATCATCGCTTTCAATATCATATCATTTATTTCAATTCTGGCTTCCTCTCCTTCCCCTCTCTGCCTACGTGTACTGTATCCAAACTATGTTTTTCCATTTTTCTTTTCTGCTCCTGAGATCATTATTAATATTAATAAAGAGAGCTTATATTTACAATTTCTTGCCATTATTTTTATGATTATTGAATTAATAACTCTCTTTTAGTATTATTTTACGAAGGGAGATATTCTTATTATAAAAAATATCCACTACCAACTCATTTCCTCCATAATTACCATTGGATCAAAAAGAAAAAATATTAAAAAAAATTGAAGAAAGAAAAAATATTAATCTAATGAAGATTATGGAAATAATGAATTGGTAGTGAATTTTTCTAGTAGTAAGAATATCCCCTCTTATTTTATAACTATTTATTTAATTTTGAGACAACAACCGGTTATAAGAGATTATAAAAATAAACCCAATGGATGCAGCTCAGTTGGTAACTTGGCACTGAGTTAGTGGGGTTGGATATGTGTTCGATTCCTGCTGAATGCATTCTTGGGGAGGGGGCTGAACCTTTAGCCATCACTGCTCCCTCGCACTCCGGATTAGTCCCATAGCCGGCTCAAAGAGTCGAAGCTCGTGGGGATACCGGAGGGAGCCAACTCGTCTCAAAGAGATAATTAGGGCTAGGTAACTCCAAAAAAAAAAAAGAGATTATAAAAATAAATAAATATTAGAAGTATAAGCTTCTTGGATTAATACGAGAAATGTTGAATTATATTTTGGTTTATCTCTCTCTCTTTTTTTTAATTTTTAATTTTTTAACTTATTTTTTTTATAATTTAAAAAATATAATACAATTCAGAACAGTCTCTGTTTTATTACCATCATTATTTTGAAGTGCATCCGGAGGCACCAATACCAAATTTGCTTCCTCCAAAATGGTAATTGGCCTGGGAGTGTTAGTGTTAGTGTTCTACTTCTACCACTCACTAATGATGGGGTGTCATCGGCTCTCTCTATTCGGGAAGAGGAATACCTCACCTCTCAACAATCAACATCCTCGCATCGCATGTACCCACCAACTTGCTCTTTTTCTTTTTTCTTCATTTAAAAATATTTTGTAATTTTCGTCCAACTCCAACACATAAAAGCGAGCCTCTTGTTTCATACACACATAATAAATATATATATGATCACACAGAGAGAGAGAGAGAGAGAGAGGTTATCTGTCAGACCCTTCTCTATTGTACTACTGCAGATGCTCATTTGGGCTCCCAGATTTGCTTCATTCTGAACAACTCCCTACACACAACAAACCAATCTTTGTCAGTGCTGTGCTCTACCCTTCTTTTTACTTTTTTCTCTGTTGCATTTTGCCATGTGGGTGGCTTTTTTCTTTTCTTTTTTTTTCTGTCCTCATTTAAACGTATAATTATGATCTGTATATTTGGTTGCTGAGTTTGGAAGGATCTCGAAATTAAAATTTAGGTCCAGACAAATGGTGAAAATTTGGTTTGTGTATGATTCTGAGTGCGTGGTGTGTTGTGGGTGATAAACAATCTCTTTTTATTGTAACTAATATTATTTTTCTAATATGATATGGTTGATCCTCTATGCCATATTTCGTCTGCCATGTTGCAGTGATATTTTGATTCAATTTTTGAGTTCTGCAAAATGTCCTGGTTTCGATTTTCTATGATACTTTTTTCTTTGAAATGTTATGTACGAATGTTTGATGAAAGGTTGTTGGGTTGTTTGAGTACACTAGGTACGATCGCTCTGATCGTTGTTGTCTCTGCCAGCAATGCCTCCAAATATCTTGTTTCAGTTTTGACCTGGAAATTTTGGCTCATTGTGGGCAGGGAGAGTAACGTAATGTCCTTTGTCACAACCATACTTACTATATGAGAAATGACATGATTCCATTACCATGACATGAAATCCTGCGACCCCTATCACTGAAGTGTGTCAATAACTTATTATTTTAACCTTTTGTTCCTCAGATAATTTGCTTAGAAAATGAGGGGGGGCTTGTGGCAACTTGGCCAATCAATCACTCGCCGTCTTGCCCATGGAAATAAGAAGGCTGTTGCTCGTCGATGTTTATCCACAGAAGCTGAGCTGAAAAGGACTGTATTTCATGACTTCCATGTTGCTAATGGTGGGAAGATGGTTCCATTTGCTGGATGGAGCATGCCAATCCAATACAAGGATTCAATCATGGACTCGACCTTAAACTGTAGGCAGAATGGTGCCCTTTTTGATGTTTCCCATATGTGTGGGCTAAGCCTCAAGGGAAAGGACTGTGTCCCATTCCTTGAAAAGCTAGTCATTGCTGAGGTTGCTGGGCTTGCCCCTGGAACTGGGACATTGACTGTATTCACAAATGAAAAGGGAGGGGCAATTGATGATTCAGTGATTACTAAGGTGAAGGATGACCACATATACCTGGTTGTGAATGCTGGGTGCAGGGATAAAGATCTGGCTCATATTGAGGAGCATATGAATGCATTCAAGGCCAAAGGTGGTGATGTGTCATGGCACATCCACGATGAAAGATCTCTACTTGCTCTGCAGGTCATTTTTCACACTCCTATTCGTTGGCATCATGCTAATGCACTTTTAACTTGTTTATTTGTTATGTAATATCTATCTCCTGCTGCTTCTGAGGGGTTTTTTTTTTTTTTTTTTTTGGGATCTGTATTTTAGTTGTTAAGATCTAAAACATACGGCAAGATTTTATCCACTCCTTTTTTTTCCCCTTTCTAAGATAGAAAATGTTTAATTTTAATCTTCAATTGTTAACTTTCCTCTATCTGTTTCACTCCGATGGCTGTAATGTGTTCTAGACTTTAAAACAATGATTATGAAGAGATAATTCAGTATACTCTCATGTCACCTGTGAACTGAATCAGAATGTGAGATTCAGATCTCTTTCCCAAACAGGTCAAGTATGTCGATCTAAAGGAGATAAATGAGACGATGGTATGGACCAAAGCTCCGTTAGGTTCTGACCGGATAGGTCCATCAGGCCAGACCAGAACAACCTGCACTGTTTATCTTTTGGTGTAATGTCACATACCTTTGGGCTATAATGCTTGTTATCTTTTCCTCACAGTAAAAAATAATAAAACTTTGTTTAGTGCGGTCATTAAATGATTATGATTCACTTACTTGGTGGTGATTTGAACTCGTGTTAATTGACAAATAAATTGTGGGGTTTTTAAATTATTGAATTGTTCCTCAATGTAACATCTAAAGTATTCTTGTTGTCTCTGGAGCAGGGTCCTCTTGCTGCCCCTGTTCTTCAACACCTGACAAAGGAGGATTTGAGCAAGCTATACTTTGGGGAGTTCCATGTGTTGGATATCAATGGCTCACAGTGCTTTCTCACACGGACAGGGTATGATTTTCTTGTTGTTTTCTTCCACCAGCATCAGCAATTTATTCTTCAAAGTTCATCCGAATTATAAGCAGGCTACCTGAAATCTCATCTTGTGTCTTGCCTTTCCTTTCTAAGATACAGTAATTTTCTTTTAGTGACTAAAAAATTGTAATTTTGTTGTGTATGTGTGTTATTAGCACAAAGTTTCCCAGGGACACCTTGCTTAATCCCAGTGGTTATACTATGCTTAATAACACTTTATTCACTGAGATTTTCAGGTATACTGGAGAAGATGGATTTGAGATCTCAGTTCCTTCAGAGTATGGAGTAGATCTTGCTAAGGCAATACTGGAAAAATCTGAAGGGAAGATAAGATTGACAGGATTGGGTGCTAGAGATAGTCTAAGACTTGAAGCTGGATTGTGTTTATATGGCAATGACTTAGAACAGCACATTACACCTGTTGAGGCAGGACTCACATGGGCTATAGGGAAGAGGAGGAGAGCAGAAGGTGGTTTTCTAGGAGCTGATATTATCCTGAAACAGCTTGAAGGAGGTCCTTCGATCAGGCGTGTTGGCTTGTTTTCTTCTGGTCCACCTCCTAGAAGCCACAGTGAGATTCAAGATGAAGGAGGCAAGAGCATTGGGGAAGTCACCAGTGGTGGATTCAGTCCTTGCCTCAAGAAGAACATAGCCATTGGATATGTTAAATCTGGATTGCACAAGGCAGGCACCAAAGTAAAGATTATTATTCGAGGAAAAGCCAATGAAGGAGTTGTTACAAAAATGCCATTTGTACCAACAAAATACTATAAGCCATCCTGATTTACTTCAGTATTTCACCTCAAACATTTTCCAGTTATTCCTTGTTGACAAATTTTTCCATAATCTGAGTGTTGAAGTAAATGTTATTGTCATTGTCTTTCTCACATCAAGTACAAGGCTTCTTGCATTAATAACTTGATTTCATTTGGAACATGTTTGAGTTGAATTCAACATGTTATCTTGAAATTTCCCGGCATTTTCCCCACCATTAGTAGAATATTACATTTTACATCCATGAAATATTAGAAGTTCAACTACGAGTATTAAAATTTCATCTTGGTTAGGACTTGGGAATAAGTCAAGTGAGAACTAGAGTGGGGCTAACGTTGAAAGCAATTTAGCTGCTGGATCATGATAGAGGGCCGTTGGGGGTGATAGGAGAGACTACTCTGAAGAGCAATGCTGTTAGCAATTCTGTTAAGAGGAAATCAAGGGCAAGAGGAAGTGGAATAGATAGGTTATTTTCAATAGCTTCTCTGATTGCTCTGTTCTTATCTTTCTTCTTTTGTTTTTTCTCGTTTACCAGTAGGATTATACTCTGTAGTGCTCATTATTCTTAGTAATTGTGACTGTTACTATTTTTTTTTCCAATTGGTGACAATATGTACTCCTTTGTACACTGAATACAAGTTGTTATGCTTGGATTCCTTTTTTTCTTCCCTGATTATCTGGTACCTAACATTCTTCTTTGTTTTTTAGCTCCCTTGAGTTTCCTGACTTAAATCGCAATTAGTAATGTCCATAGTGG